CCCCCCCCCCCCCCCCCCCCCCCCCAAGAAAACGCGACTTTTAAAAATGTGAAAATGCTATTTTCCGAAACCGATCAAAAATGCGACAAGCGAAGTCTTTCTTTTTGCCTATGAATAGGCGCAGGTCTCTGCCCCCGGCAAGACACAGGGAGCCTCTTTTCGCTGGGGCGAAGTGCCCTTTCTGACGATGAGAGGCGATTGGCCGGACGTGCGGAAATTTGTCGATCGGCTGCGACAAAGGACGAGGGACGTTCCCTCTCGGCTACCGTGAGAACGGACCGTCCGTCGGTCGCCATAAACGGTTTATTGCGGTTTGATGGTCTTTGTGTTGCGGTCTCGGCGCGCCTACAGGTGTCGAGGAAGGGTCGTCCGTTGTTAAGGGACACTTGTTGCTGCGTGTAGCCGTGCGTTCTGCATGCCCGTCCCAACCACCTGCGCCTCGCTTCAGCATCGAGAGAGCCATAGACCCCCTGGAGTGCGGGTCAGTCCAGATAAAGACACTAATAGGATTACGACGAAGACAAGCGTTTGCCTCAAACAGCAGGACGGACAAAGCCGCTCCAGCACCTGCAGAGTTGGTCGTGATTTTCCTCCGTTCGCCCAGGTTGCCGCGCTACTCCGTATGATGCAGCGTAGTTTAATAACTAACCGAGTAAGTGCCAGCCGTCTTTTTTAAGGCGCCCGTGAACTCCGGCGCTCGTCGTCACGTAATTTCTGTCCGGGGTCCGGTCACTTCGACGCCGTTCGCTGATCTCGAGACCGAAAGCGTCGAACAGCCTGATGAGTCGGGTGACGACGGAACCCGCAGTTCCTTCGGAGCCGCTCTCGTCCTCCACTGTTATCGCGAATGGAAATGACCTCGCCGTCGGCGATAACGAGGCGCGTTGCGATTCGCCCTCACGCGCGGAGATAATTTTCACTGCGTCTGACAAATAAGAATTGTCCTCTGGCCTCGGGGGGGCTCTTTCTGAGGTCCCGGCTTCGTGGGTTGTCGTGGTCTTTCTCAGACGAACAACGCCGAGCGAGGTAGCTCCTTGAAGTGGACGCCGCTGCACGGTCTGGGCGCAGTTTCCTTAATGGAGCGCGCAGCTGTGGCTACTGCAACCCGATCGCCTGCTTTCTTTATGGCCTGTGCAGGCGG